CGCTCCGCTGCGTCTGCCGCGCCGGCAACCCCTCTGCCCACAGCGCTTGAGGGGCCCGCGCAGCTTGGCACGCCCCTTCAACCCCACCGCTGCACAGCCCCTCCCGCGCGAGGTGGCAGCCGCGCCCACTGCGCGCCCGGCCCAACAGGGCCTCGGTGCCGTCTCCACCAGCGCCTCCAAGTTGGTATCCGTCTCCGCGGTAACGTAGCCGTAGGCGGGGGCATGCGCAGCGTAGTTGCCTTCGCCCATGCACGGCGTGTCCCTGCACAGGTGCGACACCTTGTCCTGTGAGTCCTCCAATTGATCACGAAGCCGTCGCGAAGTGGTCGCAAGCACCTCTCGACACGGCCAGGCCACCCCTGCCTTCTTGTACTTGATCCCAATGTCCAGGGGCGGCCGCTCCAACCTCGCGGCCGCGTCGCCCACCCTAATGATCAGGTGGTGTGGCACCTTGTCCGGCCCCTTGGCGCGGAGCTGGGCGTAGAAGTCGTTCTCCGCGGCAATGGCGGTGGCTGGCCCACGAAGCTCTGGGACCACTCCCTCCTCCGCAGCCACAACCTGGGGTCTCGAGGTCGGGCAGCACCATCCCAGCGCCCGGCCCACGCAACGGAGCGGTGCGCACACCAACATGTCGACTGCCGACGCGATGGAATGGAGACCATAGCCCAGGCCAGTGACAAGGGCCACAATCAAACCCGCCAACGTCGTCCAGCACAGTAAGGGCCCGCCCGTGCCGAAGGCCGCGTAGCCCACCGCGTTGAGCCCGCTCCCGACCAGCCCGCCCCCGCCCCACATCAAGTCCGACCACTGAATCTCCTGCGGCGGCAGGTCGGCGATCCAGCCCCCGAGCCAACTCACCCCGACCTTGATCCCACCGAGGCTGAACCAACCCCGCATCTCATCCTTCTCCTCTGGAGCTGCCCCAGTTCCCTGAGCGTCAGCTTCCACGGGGCTCCTAGGCATGGGGGGGCCCCGTCGGCGACCCGCGAACCAGCTCCACATCTCGCTCCTGCGCCGACGCGGGCTCTCCTCATGCACCTTCTCCGCCAGCCGGCGACGGCTGCTCCTCCCGGGGTGGCATGGCCGCGGCCGACGCCGTTGGGGGCTGCTGGCGCCCCTTACCTCCTGCGGGCGGGCTCGCCGCCGGCCCAAAGGGTGCCCCCCGCCCCTTCCCGGCGGCGGGCGCTGGCCCAGCTGGGGGGGCGGCCTGGCGATTCGGCCCCTCCAAGGCCGCCGCCGTGCTGCGGCGCCGCCGGTCGTCCCCCAGCGCCCGCAGCAGAGGCGCGCACGCCCCTCCGCTGGCTGTCTCATCCTCCGCAGGCAGCGCACTGCCTGAGCCGCGCGCCGCTGACGGCAGGGCGGGCGTCGCAGGGCGCCCTCGCCATCGGCGCCCGATCTCAGCCGCGGCCGCCGCTCCGATGATCATATGGGCAGCGGGGCCATCATGCGGCGGTGCAGGCCCGGCTCCAGGCGCCTCCTCCTGCCTGCGGCCCTCCTCCGCCGACCCGCCACGGCTGGCGGCCTGGCTCCTCGCCGCGTGGCACTCGGTCCCTGTGCGGCCGTGGGCCGCAGGGCGGGGCCGCGCTTCCCCGCGCGGGGCCGCCCCCTCAAGGGCCCGAGAAAAAGCTCGAGCCCCAAAGGGGGCCGCAAAGAGGGGAAGGGGACAAAGGACAGAGGAGGACCCTTCCCCCTCACAAGGCACTTGCTCCCTGAAACCTTACGTTCTACGCACGCTCGAACTCTCACGAACCCTCTTGGGGACCTCTGAGGCGTTTTTCGGAGACCTCTGGGGCCGTCATGGCCGCTGGGAAGGCGAATCCGGCGAATCTGCGAAAAAAAATACTTCCTAAAGGAATTGGGCGATGCTTGGTCCTTGGGGTTCCCTTGGGGGCGTTCTGGAAGCCTCTTGGGGCGCCTTGACGCTTCTTGGACTGTCTTGGGGTCTCTTGGGGGTCTCCGGAAACCTCTGAGGGGCCTCTCGGGGGCTTCCTTGAGCTTCCTGGGGGCCTCTCCAGCGCCAGGGCGGCAACATCCATTCGGAGCCTTCGACCGAGACCCCCGCTGGGAGCGGTCTTGGTGGCGTCTTGAGTTTGGGCGCTTCTTGGGAGTGTTGGAACCCTCTTGGGGACCTCTGAGGCGTTTTTCGGAGACCTCTGGGGCCAGCGTGGGTCCCAACTAGTGGGTACTTGCGCTCTCGATGCGCAATCTGCGTAGTGCAAGCTAGGTGGTGGTTGCAGTCTACGTGGTGCAGATGCAATACACGTTGTGTGTGTTCACCTTGCTGGCAGCCGCGCGTGACCACCTCCACATCGTTATACATATAACGGCGCACCAGGGCCTCGGCCCCCAGGGCCGCGACCCACAAATGTGGGTGTTCAGGCGCTTGGGGGGCCCCAGAGGCCCGCAAAACGCAACCAGAAAGCGCCAAGAGAGCCCGAAGACGCTCCAAGAGAGACTCGAGACGCCCATAGGCCGCTGCAAGACGCCCAAGATGGCCTCCAGACGGCTTAAGGACACCCCAAGACACCCCAAGAGGCCCCCAAGAGGCCCCCCAAAAGAGCCCCAATGGGCAAACATAGCCCCATTCCCATTCGTAAAACGTATATGTTTAGCATATTGATTCTTTTCGCTATCGTACCGTCCTTGACGACCTCAGAGGCTCCCAAGACCGCCCCAAGCCGGCCCAAGAGGCGCCCCAGAGGGCCCCAAGAAGGCCCAAGAGGGCCTCAAGACGGTCCAAGAAGCGCCCAATACGGCCCAGACGGGCCCATAAAGGGGCCCAAGAGGTGCCCAAGATGGTGAAATCCAACTGACATTTCGAGCCCCCCGCCCCAAGAGGACCCCCGAGGCCCGCAAGAGGCTTACCGCAAGCCCCCCGAGAGGCCCCAAGAGGCCCCCCAGATGCCCAAGAGGCTTCCAAGACGCCCCCCAAAGGAGCCCCCAGGAGCAAAAAACGCCCTCCTGCGGAAAACATACATTTGGGGCAGATTCGCCTGATTCGCCTTCCCAGCGGCCATGACGGCCCCAGAGGTTTCCGAAAAACGCCTCAGAGGTCCCCAAGGGGGTTCCAACACGTCCCAAGAAGCGCCCAAACCCCCAAGACGCCACCAAGACCGCTCCCAGCGGGGGTCTCGGACGAAGGCTCCGAATGGATTTTGTCGCCCTGGCGCTGGAGAGGCCCCCAGGAAGCTCAAGGAAGCCTCCGAGAGGCCCCTCAGAGGTTTCTGGAGACCCCCAAGAGACCCCAAGACAGTCCAAGAAGCGTCAAGGCGCCCCAAGAGGCCTCCAGAACGCCTCCAAGGAAACCCCAAGGACCAAACATCGCCCAATTCCTTTAGGAAGTACTTTTTTCGCAGATTCGCCTGCTTCGCCTTCCCAGCGGCCATGACGGCCCCAGAGGTCTCCGAAAAACGCCTCAGAGGTCCCCAAGAGGGTTCCAACACGTCCCAAGAAGCGCCCAAACCCCCAAGACGCCACCAAGACCGCTCCCAGCGGGGGTCTCGGTCGAAGGTTCCGAATGGATGTTGCCGCCCTGGCGCTGGAGAGGCCCCCAGGAAGCTCAAGGAAGCCCCCGAGAGGCCCCTCAGAGGTTTCCAGAGACCCCCAAGAGACTCCAAGACAGTCCAAGAAGCGTCAAGGCGCCCCAAGAGGCCTCCAGAACGCCCCCAAGGGAACCCCAAGGACCAAACATCGCCCAATTCCTTTAGGAAGTACTTTTTTCGCAGATTCACCTGATTCGCCTTCCCAGCGGCCATGACGGCCCCAGAGGTCTCCGAAAAACGCTTCAGAGGTCCCCAAGAGGGTTCCAACACGTCCCAAGAAGCGCCCAAACCCCCAAGACGCCACCAAGACCGCTCCCAGCGGGGGTCTCGGACGAAGGCTCCGAATGGATTTTGCCGCCCTGGCGCTGGAGAAGCCCCCAGGAAGCTCAAGGAAGCTCCCGAGAGGCCCCTCAGAGGTTTCCGGAGACCCCCAAGAGACCCCAAGACAGTCCAAGAAGCGTCAAGGCGCCCCAAGAGGCCTCCAGAACGCCCCCAAGGGAACCCCAAGGACCAAACATCGCCCAATTCCTTTAGGAAGTACTTTTTTCGCAGATTCGCCTGCTTCGCCTTCCCAGCGGCCATGACGGCCCCAGAGGTCTCCGAGAAACGACCCAGAGGTCCCCAAGAGGGTTCCAACACGTCCCAAGAAGCGCCCAAACCCCCAAGACACCACCAAGACCGCTCCCAGCGGGGGTCTCGGTCGAAGGTTCCGAATGGATGTTGCCGCCCTGGCGCTGGAGAGGCCCCCAGGAAGCCCAAGGAAGCCCCCGAGAGGCCCCTCAGAGGTTTCCGGAGACCCCCAAGAGACCCCAAGACAGTCAAAGAAGCGTCAAGGCGCCCCAAGAGGCCTCCAGAACGCCACCAAGGGAACCCCAAGGACCAAACATCGCCCAATTCCTTTAGGAAGTACTTCTTTCGCAGATTCGCCTGCTTCGCCTTCCCAGCGGCCATGACGGCCCCAGAGGTTTCCGAAAAACGCCTCAGAGGTCTCCAAGAGGGTTCCAACACGTCCCAAAAAGCGCCCAAACCCCCACGACGCCACCAAGACCGCTCCCAGCGGGGGTCTCGGTCGAAGGCTCCGAATGGATGTTGCCGCCTTGGCGCTGGAGAGGCCCCCAGGAAGCTCAAGGAAGCCCCCGAGAGGCCTCTCAGAGGTTTGTGGAGACCCCCAAGAGACCCCAAGACAGTCCAAGAAGCGTCAAGGCGCCCCAAGAGGCCTCCAGAACGCCACCCAAGGGAACCCCAAGGAACAAAAATCGTCCAATTCCTCTAGGAAGTACTTCTTTCGCAGATTCGCCTGCTTCGCCTTCCCAGCGGCCATGACGACACACATCACTAAATCAGCCCCGTACCAACTAAAACCTCGATCCTCGAACTTCCACCCTCGAGAAGAAGGCCCCACAGAGCCCCGCCGGCAACGCGCGCGCGGAGAGGCGCGACGGACGACGCAGGCCCCGCCGAGGAATCGGCTGCCAGCTGGCCGCTGGACGCCACGAGGTACGGGTCTGGGCTGCCTGCAGTGGTGGTCGCCCGCGTGAACCTCATTGCCGCCGTGGTCGCCGTCGTCGCTGCAACCGTCGCCGTCGTTGTCGTCGTCGTCGTCGTCATCGTCGTCGTCGTCGTCGCCACCGCCGCCGCCGTGGTCGCTACCGCTGTGGTCGTCGTCGCCGCTGCTGTGGTCGCCATCGTGGCCGCCGAGGTCGCCGCCGTGCTCGTTGATGCTAACATGGTCGTGGTCGTCTCCGCGGCCGTCGTCGCCGTCATCGTCATCGTGGTCATCATCGCGGTTGTTGCCGTCGCCGTCGCTTGCGCCGTAGTGGTCGCCGTCGCCGTCGCCGCCGTCGTTCCAGTCGCAGTCGCCCGTTGACGGCAACGACGGCGAAGAGAGGACGAGGAGGGAGGAAACGAAGGCCATCATGGCGACGGAGAGCGGGGCGGCGAACGGGACGAGAAGGAGAGCGAGGAGTGGGGGGGGGGGGTGAGCAGGGCGACGATACGATGATGATTGGGGAGACGAGGGGCCGAATGCGAAAGGGAGAGATGGGCATAATGATATAGGAGGAGGCAAAAGAAGGACGATGAGGGGCCGAAGACACGAGGAGGGAGAAGAGGAGCGAATCAGCCGTGTTGTGTCCTTATAGCAACTCGGACGCCAACTAGGCTGCCCACCAAGCGAGCGTTTGTTCATTCGGCGTTTCGACATTGGGCGGAAGGGGGGGTGGTCTGGCTCCGGACCTCTGCTTAATGCGACTGTTTGGAACCTTGCGTCCTATGGGGGAGACTCCACCTGCTCGAAACAGGCGCCATAACAGCCAAGATCTACTCCACGGGGGGGGGGAGGGGGGGGGTGCGAGGGCCTGCGTCGATCGGCAAAATAATGAATAAAACGATCACCAATGATGACGTTTGAGCATGTCTTCTCCTGCGCGAGTAGAGTCGACTGCCAGCAGATCCAAATTCGCGTGCATTTATGGTGCGCGATGGGCACAACGCGTGCCCACCATGGCCAGGGTGGTATTGCAACAGTGGCGCGCGATGATACTGACCACGCCAGCGCGACCAGGTGGGCGGTCAGAAGACGAGAACTTCACACCTTCCCCTGGCCCTGTGGCACAGTTCCCATCACCTGAATTCTGACGCGCGCGCCAGCTCTGACATCCATGATGGCGCAGGTTGGAGGCGGCCCGGGGGTCTGAACTGGATAACCTCAGAGAACATCGGCCAACGCGCGGATGAAAGGAAACTTGCCTCAAATCTGTTCCCACACCCTGCTGGGGTCGAAGCTGACAAAATGCTTGAGCCGCGTCCAGTGGCGACGAAGGGGCACCGTTCCCCGTCCGATCTCTGCTTGCCAAAACCATTGCTGGGCCACCTCAGCCCCCCAGCCGGCTCCAAGGCGCAGGCTCGCCCTGAGTTTCCTGAAACATTGAACAGGGCGGGCGAATATTGAAGATCGATTCGTCGCGACTCGTTGGAGTCCTCTAGGGCGTTGGGGCTGCTGGCCCCTTGGGGACTATTTGCACCCTTCCCACGGGTGCGGCGGCCCCGCGCACCGCACTTGGTCGTCGGGGTCGCACTTCGCCTTCATGAGGTCCCACCTGGCGCGCGCTGGCAGACGAGGGCAGGATGAGGATGACTTCGGCCGATGATACAGCGGGAATCTCTGAGAACCCGCGGGTCTGGAGGACGTATCGGTCGCCGCGGCTGCCTCAACACGCTTTGAGAGCGTTCCAGAACGGTCTGGGGCGATTCATCCTCATCATACGTCTTCCCAGCGCTGGCAGGCGATGGGAACAGCGAGGAGCCTGGACCCCGCTGGGAACGACGCGCGCATCCCAGTTCGAGGGGTGGCAAGCCCGAAGAAGCCGACACTTACACCATCAGTATCATTGAGCATTGGATTCCAACGTGGGTCTGTTAGTATAGAGAGGGTCATGACACAAACGTTGCAACACATATTCTGCGTATCTGTGCATATGCGGTCTGGCAAATCGGGGCGGCATCATCGCGACGCCAAGGGGCGTCGCGGACTCGAGCCTTTGGCCTAGAAGCACGAAAAGCACGATTACCCATATCATGAAGTTCTGCAACAAGTCACTGTGTTCTGGGGGCGCACGGACACGCAAAACACTGTTCAGCTAATCGTTAGCTGGCGCCCGCCTCGAACTCATGCCCCACCCCCCGCCTCTTCCAAATATCCTTTCGCTGTGGCCCCACCCTCCTCATGGCCCTCCGATTGCCCCGGTCCTCATCGTGCCCTTCATCCACATTGCTCACCCCCCATGTGCCAATTCACGTCGTTCCTCGTCGTCTTCCTGCGCCGGATTCGTTCCCCCATCGTCCACATGCCTGCCCTCCTCCAATCCTCTACGGCCTAGTGCACATCATGCCCCCAACTTCTGCCCCCCCCACCTTCCTCGCCCTCGTGATGCTGACACCGATGATGCAAATCCTCCTGAACTCATTTCTTCCGCTCTCGTCCAGTCCCGTTCATCCTTGGCCCTTCGGCCACCCCTCCTATCGAACCCCTTCCTTCCCACAGCCCACCATCTCCACCCCCCCCCGCGCCTTTGCATGCCCAGACCACGGCCCCCTCCTGGACCAGCCGGGAGACCCGCGGAAACGCCCGCCCAGAGACCACTCCAGCGAACGGCGCGCAAAAGATGCACAGTTGGAGACACGAACTGTGTATTTCGACCGCGCACGACGCCCCCCTGGACCAGCCGGAAGAGAAACGCGAAAGTTCCCGCCCATTCAACACCACCCGCGAGGGACACACTCCAAATACACAGATGGGAACGAGATCTGTCTACACAGATCACACCACGATCTGTGTAAACAGTCGGCCCACACACGAAAATACACAGTTGAAGACACAAACTGTGTACACAGATCACAACTTGATCTGTGTATTCCGAAAAGGTAAACGCTCGCCACCTTGAGGGCGCCCCGACTTGGCCAGCCCAGAACCGAGGTTGACATGCCCAGCTGGGGGGGACTGCAAATACACACTTCCCCGGCCCAGGGCGCCTCCGAGAGAACCGCAAATACACGCTTCCCTGGCCCAGGGCGGCCGCGGTGTAACGCGGCGCCAAAGCGGCCCCCAACGGCCCGAAGACGCCCCAAAAGGCCTCGAAGGACCCCAAAGAATGCCGCGCAGCAGGCCGAAAACACGAGAGATGTCACATGTCATGGACCTCTTAACAGTCAAAGCTCCACGCGTCGCCATATAGACCACTGCTCTGGCAGAGGGGCGGACCTTGCCGCAGGCACCTATAATTTACATGTTAGCGATGCGACTGTGCTCGGCGGCCGTGCCACCCGCATTTTGAGTGCGCCCCGAACTCTCGCATTGGCAATCCCCTCTGTTTGGTTGCGCCGCGGTGCTCGGATATCGGAAAAGCATTTACCGCTGACGCGGGCACGCGGCACCAGGCACTTCACTTTTCGAACAAGGAGGGTGGACGAGGTAGGACGACGGACGGTGGAGCAGGGAGGCAAAGAGGAACGAGAATAACAAGGGAGGTGGGAAGGGGCGCTCCCCCGCCCGAGCCGCGGACGCTTTCGACACCATCCAGGGGAGGGAAGAAAGGAAGGGGAACGGAGCAAGGGCGAGGACGACGACGGGAAGCAAAGTGCCCCGGGTCCGCATATAGCCATATGTCTGCGATTCGGGTGCGCGCGCTTTCTTCGAGGCACTTCAAGCCCGACCCATGCTGAATTCACTAATTCCTCAAAACTGTGTAAACACTCTGTCCTGTGTTCCCTCTCCTATACAACGGCCTCATAACAGAGGGGCAGTGGATTCCAAATTGAGCAAGGGGTCATCGCGGCGGCGCGCTGTTGCTGTTTTGCCGCGTCGTGCTCGATACATTTTCCAATCTAAAATTGGGGGGGCATTGTGGACCTCCTTGCTGGGGTTTGTCCTGTTCGTGGTGCACCAGCCAGAACAGCTGTGATAAAAAGGAAAAGACAGGAGGGGGGAGGAGGAGGAGGAGGAGGAGGAGGAGGAGGAGGAGGAGGAGGAGGAGGAGACGGCTGATCAACAAATGCTCAGACCATTTCCAGCATCTCAAATTGACCGCTGTGCCACGTATAGGACCACTAAGGCCCCTGCGACGTCAAACAATATGCATCCCCTGTGCGCTGATTGTTCGCGCTTGCCCGTCCAGGACTGGTGGCTGCTAGCAGCTGCTCCTGGACCGATCACGAGTCTGAAGAATCGACCACAAAGGACAAACACTCCAAGGACTGTGACAAAAAGGAAGAGGCACGCTCAACAATGTGGGAACGAACAGTGACAAAAACATAAAAACTCGGAGGTCCGCACGGATGTCTCGGATCGGCGATGGACCCCCCTCCCTGGCGCGCGGAGCGCGCCAGGGCCGGCGCCGGAGGCGTCGGCAGGAGGCCCCAGCGCCGATACGAGGAATTCGCGCGGATCGCAGAGCTTTGATCTCCATGCGTTGTCCGTTCCCCTGCACAAGGCCGATCCATGCATGCCAAAACTTGCAACCTTCGGTGGAAGGCCCTCGAAACCTGCGGCCAAACCCAGCCGGGCATGGCGACAGGACGCCTCTAAGTCGGAATCCGTACTGGCTAAGCACTGCTGTCCACCAACTCCATCGTTAGATGACAAGCATCGAGTCTCGGCACTGTTGCACACGAGCACTGATACCGTGAAAGGGTTAGGCGGGAGAGACGACCAAAGAACCCATGAAAGACCTACGCGCCCAACCACGTAGATGAATACGGCCCCCCCGTCCGCGAGATCAGCCGCATGATATGAGAGAGCGCGCAATGCGTATCCTCGAAACCGACATAGATTCACGTACGTGCACGTCCTTCTTCCGCTCCTGGGCGACGGAGGGACCCGCGGACGCCGCCGGACACGGGCAGCTCCGGACGCCCGAACTTTAGATTGGAACTGCGCACAACAGCAAAACAGCAGCTGTGCGCCGCCGCGAGGACCCCCCTCTGCCCAACGATAATGACGCGCCTCACGCTTCGCGGCGCGCGAGGCGCGTCATCGCGGCATCTCCACGGCCTAGGGCCGTCGACTCCGGAGGCCGGGCCGAGCGGCCTCTGTCCTGGACGCTCTGTGGGCAAGGGACGGGCTGTGCCAGCGCGCTCCAAAAGGTCAGTCGGGAGGACGCAATGGTGGGGTAGGGTCAAAGGTGGGGTTGGGAGGAAAACCGCACTCCCCCTGCACGAACCCCGAATCAAAAACAGCTTCACTGGATCAGGTCCCGGCCGGTGCGGACTGCAGAAGGGGGGCGCACTGCCAGTGGGCCCCAATGCCATGCGTCAGGCTCTCCTCGCACTCGATGCCCAGCATAGGGAACAAGGCCTTGCAGGCCTCGGAGCACCTGCCACATGCTGGGCAACCAATGGGAGATGCCAGGGCTGAGAGCAAAGGTGCAACAACGAGTGTCGATCGCACGCGTCCCTTGCTCGAAATGCCCTGTAATCCGAAAGCGTGGGGACGCATAGGCGTGGGGGCGGGCTGCCATAATCATAAGACGATTACGCTTACTATGGACGATGCTACGAACATCATTAACGATACTCGCCCGCGTGAACCACAAGCATTGCCTCTGGCAGCCCACGCTCTGCAACCTGCGTTGAACAAGTATATGTGGCGCATTCAACATGGGGCAATTCACCCTACCGAACTGAACTTGAGGTTGTCAACTCCACTGCTCGCGGGATTATCCGACCAACCCCCCGCAACTTGATTTGCGAAGCCCATGCATAACTATGGGGCACAAAGTGTGTGGGCGGTGTAAAGTGTGCAAGCAAAAAATGTGCACATTATATTGCGCGCTCTATGTTGTACGCCATAATTGAGTACATGTGTATATATATACACATGTATACATTTACATGTACACAGGTAAGCACGGTGCATTGTAGAGATGTCATATACGTTGTGCGACATATGTGGCGCCATCCACGTGGTGCAGCCGTCAATGTGTATCCACATGGTGGAACACATTTTGCACGATCTAGGTTGTGCAATCGATGTGCAGCGACTGAATTTTCCAGACGAGTTGACACATCCCACGCTCTTGCAAACATCCCACCCGCCCACCCGCAGCTTGATTTGCAAAACCCATGCGGTGGCGATTGCGATGCATGCTTGGCGTTGGCTGGTGCATTTCCGCGGCCGCGCCAACACAAACATGCGCGCGCAGCGGCCAGGTAGTCTGGCGCGACCGACGCGGCCGCGGTGGCGCTGACCGCTGGGCACATGCCAGCGGACACTTCACTGCGAGACTTGGGCTGGCGCGGTATCGCGGCAACATCGACAAAAGTAGGCGCGATGATGATAGTAGCGATGCTGGTGACGATGTTGACAACGACGACGTCGTGGCCACTTCGGGCGCCGATGCTTACCACGCCGGTGACGATGACGGCGTCCTCGCGTCGGTGATAAAGGTTTTGGGAAACATTCGACATGCGCGCGCGGCCGGCGCGCGAGAGTGGCCCGCATGGTATTATTTGCAACGGATCGTGCCCCCCCCCAGCGCGCGAGCAAATGCGTGCGAATGATGTCAGCATACGACGCGACAGGCCCGCTTGGCAGAATTCCATGCACATGTTGAACACCCATATTTTTTCCGCATGCTGAAAAATGCTGAATTCCGGATTGGAATTGTTGAATTCGCAAGAATGCGAGAAGCGTCTGTTTTGAAAACTGATGTTGCGAAACCATTTGTTATTCACTGGTGGTTGACACTCGGTTTTTTTGCATCATTACGCCAACGAAAATGTTTGACGGATTTTGGCATGCGCGCGCGAGGACGCGCGCGCGTGCGCTTCGTCTCATCTGTTGCAAAGGATACTCGCGACGGCACGCGCGCAAGGTCTTTCGAACGATCTCGACCTGCGCGCGCGAAGCCCGCTTGATAGCATGTCGTGAACATGTTGAATACGTAAACATTTATTCAGAATTCTCACGAACGCGCGTGACAATTTTTTTGAACACCCGTGTTGCGAAACCCTGTGGTTTATAAGTTTGTTTGGGTATTCGGTTTCGAAATCTCTACGACACCGAAGGTTTTTGAATAATGTCGGCATGCGCGCGCGACGACGCGCGCGTGCGCACTCCGTCCCAGTTGTTGCAAGGGATTCTTTACAACTGATGATTTGTGATACGCGAGTGCGCGCGCATAGTATTTGTTGCAGAGGACTTGCGGGGGGCGATACCTGTTGGGTTGAGATGAGATGGTCTGAATTAGTAGCTAAGATGGACGGTGGGGCAGAATCATATGTAAATTGAAATACGAGGAAGGACGATATAATCCCGGGGGAGGGGGAGGTGTTTTTATACTAAAAGAGAACAGTTGACCACGCTGCACCGCGCGCGACCACCTCCCATGCTGGTGCAAACATCCAACCCTCCCACCAGCATCTTGGTCGGCAAAACTCATAAGGTCGCGGCTGCACTTGCAGCGTGGAACTCGTCCGCAAATTTCATCGAAGCCATTGGCACGCGGACATTCGTGGTGCGGGCAGAGTCCATTTTGCGGGAGACAGCGCGGACGACGGCGTCGACAAACGACGATGAAATGGCGGGCAAAACTCATAAGGTCGCGTGTGCAGTTGCAGCGTGGTGCTCCTCCAGTAATTTCATCCTTTTCATTGGCGCGCGGTCTCGTCGCGCGGGCACATTCCATCTTGCGGGAGACAGTACGGACGACGGCGTCGACAAACGAAGATGCGAATGATCACGACGCTTCCGACGGCAATGATGACGATGACGGTGCCCCGCATGGTATTATTTGACGGGGTTGATGCCTCAGGCAAGCGCAAAAAGGCATCGGAAAAAATTCGACACGCGCGCGAAAGCTTCCTTGGACAGGAAAATTGAATATCAGTGGGTTTCCTCGGATTCCGAAAAAGCGCGCGGGATGAAATGTTGAAATTTCATGTTGGCTATCCAATTGATTTTTGATGTTTTACGTTGGAATCGCAACGAAAACATCGGTTGTGGAAGGATGTTGTCTTGCGCGCGCATGTGACCCGCATGGTACTATTTCATGGGGGTTCGTGCACTCAGCTCATGTTAGATTTACGCATGTGCACCGCATGGTATTATCTGACAGGCACGATGGGGGACCCGATGCCGGGACTAGCTGGGATGGTATGAAGTCATGTGGAACATGAACAAGGAGGCAGAACCATATGTAAATTGCAATACCCCAGGGGGAGGTGGTAATTCTGGGGTGATGGTGGGATCTAGCTTCCTTTTAGAAAAAAAAAAAAAACCGACGTATTGCGATCTATGTTGTGCCACCTACGAGGCGCAACTCATATGTGGAACTCGCAATACTCGGCTCCACTGGTCGCGCAATCATCCCACACACCCACCTGCATTTTGCTGTGCAGAACGCGCGCGGCGGGCGACTGCGATGAATGCTTAGCGTTGGCCGGTGCGTCTCTGCGGCCTCGCTCGCCCGCGCAGCGACCAGCCAGTTTGGAGCGACCGTCGCGGCCGCGGTGGACCTGACCTGTGGGCAACTCCCTGCGAGCACTTCAGTGCGAGTCGACCACCTGGGCGGACGCGATGTCATGTCAACGTCGACAACGGTATACATGATGAAGCTAATAGCGACGCTGGTGACGATGATGGCAACGGCGACTGCACGGCCAGAGACGGCGCCGATGCTGACCACGCCGACGACGATGAAGGCGCCCTCGCGTCAGTGATGAACTTTCTTGGCAAAAGTTCGACATGCGCGCGCGGCCGACGCGCGAGTGGCCCGAATGGTTTTATTTGACACGGATCGCGCCCCTCCCCCCCGTAGGCGCGCATAGGCGTACGAATGATGTCGACATGCGGCGCGACAGGCCCGTCTGGCCGAATTCAATGAGTAAGTGCAAACCGATGGTGTCCTTGAGAAGTCGCAAGAAATCGAGCGCAATCTTCCCCTGCCATCCTGTGGTGTTGGGTCCTCGTTTTGAAGAAACAGCGCCCTGCGTTCCTCTCCTCTTCTCCTCCTCCTTCTCCCCCTCCCTCCTCCCGTCACCCCTCCTTTTGGCACGCCCCTCGCACGTTTCGCGACCCCATAAGAGCTCAACGGAAGGTCCCCGCGGCGCAGCCCGCATGCGCCCCCTCTACCCATGTCGGCACACCCCTCACACGTTTCGTGGCCCTGTAGGGAGCTCCACCGAGGTTATCAGTGGCGAAGCCCGCATGCGCCCCCGCAGCCCATGTCGGCACACCCCTCACACGTTCGCAGCCCCATAGGAACTCCACCGAAGGCCCCAGTGGCGCAGTCCGCAAGCGTTCCCGCCACCCATTTCGGCACACCCCTCAAACGTTTTGTGGCCACGGAGGAGCTCCGCAGAAGATCCCAATTGCGTGGCCCGCATGCGCCCCCGCCACTCATTTTCATACGTGCCTCATAAGTTTCGTGGCCCCATAAGAGCCCCTCTGGAGGTCCCAGCGGCGCAGCCCGCATGCGTCCCCGCTGCCCATGTAGGCATACCCTTCACACGCTTCGTGGCCCACATAGGAGCTTGACCGAACGTCCCAGTGGCGAAGCCCGCATGCGTCCCCGCCACCCATTTCGACACAGCCCTCACACGCTTCGTGGCCCTATAAAGAGCTCCACCGAAGGTCCCAGCGGTGCAGCCCGCATGCGCCCCCGCCTCTCATGCCGGCACACTCCTCACACGTTTCGTGGCCCCCATAGGGGCTCTACCGAGTTTCCCAGTGGCGCAACCCGAATGCGCCCCCGCCGACAACGTTGGCACACCCCTCACACGTTTCGTGGCTACATAAGAGCTCTACCGAGTGTCCAAGTGGCGCAGCCCGCATGCGCCCCCGCAGCCAATGTCGGCACACCCCTCACACGTTTCGTGGCCACATCGGAGCCCCACCGAAGAACCCATCTGCGCAGCCCGCATGCGCCCCCGCTGCCCATTTTTGATACACCCCTCACACGTTTCGTAGCCCGTCGGGCGCTCCGCCGAAGTTCCCAGTCGCGCGGCATGCGTCCCCGCCACTCAATGAAATGGGTGGGATGATGCTGATGGTGACGATGATGACGATGATGATGATGATGATGATGATGATGATGATGATGATGATGATGATGATGATGATGATGATGATGATGATGATGCCGTCGATGGGAGGAGGGCGGACGGGGAGGGGGCAGCGGGAGAAAGAGGAGGAGGAGGAGGAGGAGGAGGAGTGACGCGGGGCGCTGTCTCTTCAAAGCGAGGACCTAATACTAATACCACAGGATGGCTGAGAAAAAAACATGCGCTCGCGTTCCTGCAGACTCTTTTCGCGAAATGATACTAAACGGGCCTCTCGCGCGCGCATGTCGAAATCGTTCGAACGTCCTTGCGCGCGCGTGCTGTCGCAATAATCCAATGGAACAAATGAAGCGAAATGCACGCGCGCGCGCGCGTCGTCGCGCCCGCATTCCGAGATCTGTCAAAAACCATAGGTGTCGTAGGGATGTCAAAAACGAGTGTCTCGACATGTATAACTATCCGGGCGAAGGAACTAACCGTATGCACTTATGAGTGCCGCGTTGTGGGTG